GTTCATTTCCTTACACATAAAGTTTTTGTTCAAAGATTAAAGCTAATTTATATTTAGAATATGAAAGATCTTTCAAATTAATTGTGTACAGGAAGACTAATATAGCATTGGATTATTTCCAAGATCATAGATCACAACTCTCCAAAAGTATGAATTAATATTAAAAGGTTAAAAGAGAAGAGCTATTACAACAGCATTTCTATTTCCAAGTACTCTTTACAATGCCACAGTCTTGGGATTCACTGAATTACACTAATAACTTCACAGTAAAAAACGGTATTTCCCAGTAGGTACAGATTATGTTAACCATTCATGAGACATGCAGACAAAGCTACTACTGAGGTCACACTATGTGACAATTATTTAGAAATCTAAATTCAGCTCCAGAACTTGCAATTTCTGTCTGAACTTTAAGTTAGACAATGAAAACAGCAGTTGTTGAAACAATAGGACTGAAGCAATCTATCATTTCTCAACTGAGACTACAAAAAATTTACATAAACAAGAGATTAATTTCATAACAAAAATGTCCCAATATACCTAAAGTGCCCAATCAGATAATGTAATGGGTATATGTTATATCAGATATTATTATTCAGTTATGTTTTTGTATGAGTTTGTAGAATTGTTATTAAATGCTTCTTTCTGGAAATATTTACCTCTCACAAGCTATTTCTTTTCTTTGTCAATTCTAGTGTTTTGTTAAGTTCCATGAAGAGAAGAGATGAAGTGGTACTAATTTTAAAATTATTTTAAATAATTTTAAAAATATCCTCTGCAGTGAACCATATTTTCCCATGAAGTATATGTTTTATCTTGATATGTCTCATGACTAAGCATGGTGACATTCATTCTGATAAAGAATCCATCATTTCTAAAGATAACCCTCAACAGAAGAAACAAGTAAGAAGGCATTAGATTAACTTTCAAGTTCAGAATTGAAATTGGGTGCACACATGGTTGATTCCAAAACATGGAAACTTCTAAATCTGTTTTCTGGCTTTGATCTTCTCTAATATTCATTATCTACTGTAAGGATAACAAAGAAATTATCTAAGACATGTGTTTTTATACTCCAGTGTATTGATCAACATGAGGCTTAATTATTTCTTTTTAGTATTCATTGTCCCTCCTGCTTTGCAGAAATATACATTGAGCATCTAATGGTAGACATTTACACATCTTAATGCATTTGTACAGTTGAACTTCGTCTCAAAATAAAATTCATGCAAAAGTCTTAAAGTGTTGTCTCAAAGTATTACGTAGGGAAAAAAATTGTATAAGCAATTCACCAACTGGATGAAGTTGTCAATTGCTGAAGTTGTGTTTTCTGAGGGAATTATCTACCACAACATAGAATCATAAAAGCTGTAAAGAGTCAGTCTTGTTTTCCACTTAGCCCAGAGATCTGCCAAATTTTACTCAGAACTTCATGTCTCCCCAGCCACTGTGTTTATGATGTAAGTCTTGGCCAGTGTCAGCTTTCAGGTCCCAAAACATTCCTTGTCATGAAACTAGAACTGTTGGGTCATCATAACACTCTCAAAACCTGCATAGGTACACATGTCAGACTGCACATGTGGTCAAATATTCTCCCCTTCTTGTTAGAGTCATTCTGAACAACTTCAAGCTCTCTCTGTCAATTTAAGACTCTCTTTATTTCATTCCATATGTTTCTTTATTGGATACACATTGGTATTAAAACTAAGACTTATATTACCAGATATATAACCTAAACAAAAAAAAGACAAGAAGAATTATATAAACCTTCTCTGTAAGAACATTATGCATTGCACAAATTATCAGGTAGATGGGAGTTTCATTTAGATTGGCATTATTTGTGGGGAGTGGTTCCTAGAAATAAGTAAATAAAAAATTATATATACACATGTAAGTAAAAATTCCAGTTATTCAAATATTTGTGCTATAATCTCATTTATGAACATATGTTTTAGATGTTTACATAAATGTATGTGAGTATATGTATGCACATATATGGTAATAATCAAACAGGAGCTTATATAAGTAATCCATCACTGGGTATAATGTCACCTATAGTTTCTTTTTTTCTAGAATTACTAATTAGACTTTTCTTTAAAAACATCATTATTGTTATACAACAAAGTGAATAATGACTTTAGACATTACATATTAATAATGTGTGTTTATTAAAAGTAATTAGCCCCTATTAATAGTTCAAATGCAGTGATAAATTTAATTGTATTTGTGACAAACCAAACTTTCACAAAAATCACTGCCATTGTTAATGATATTTAACAATTATGAATACAAAATAGCCTAGATCAGTCTTCAGTAATTAGAAAAATTTACCAAAACTCCAGAGGAAAAACAATATGTCATTTTATAATGTTGACGTGCAAAATTCAAAATAAGAAAAATATTGAAAAACAATAAGCAGTGCTAGAAACAATGACAACTTCACCATGACCACAAATTAGTCAACAATTATTTCTTTGACAATTGGCAAGTGTATATTGGACAAGGCCGCTTGTTGGTTCCCGTCTGCTTATTGTCTAAGCCCTGAAATTATCATATAGGAACTATATCATTTAAATCACTGTTTGACCTGTTAGCTCTAGCCTCTTATTTGATAATTTTTACATCTTAATTTATCCCATCCCTATTAATCTGTGCATTAACCACAATGCCATGGCATACCAGCAAAGTTTCAGTGCATTATCTTCAGCAGCATCTCCATGGCTTCTCTCTGACACCGCTTCCTTTCTCCCAGCATTAACATTCCTCATGTAGCTCTGTTACCTTATAAATATGCTATAGGCCCAAAGAGGTTTCTTTATTAACCATTGATATTCATAGCATAGAAAGGGGAATACTACATAATCTCCATTTTACTCTTTAAAAAAAAGGAAGGCTTTTAACTTTAACAAAGTAAAATCACATATACAAAATGGGTATTAAGCAAGAGTTATATTTACAATATTTAAATCTACTTAATCTTTTATCACAATTTAGGAAAACTATATTATTACTATACATTACATTTTCAAATGAGCTACACAAACACAATACCTTAATCAAGATCAGAAATATACATATACACAGTATAACAAAATTGCCGTTAAATTTGTTTCAATAATCCAAAATTCATACCAATGCAAATCTCCACAGAATATCGCTATTAAATATAAACAAACACTTATAAATAATCATTTAGGGCATTGGGGCATAGTTCTCTCCAAACTGCTTCCTGCTTTTTGTTGGGTAAAGTAATTTTTGGGAGTATTCACAGTAAGCTTTTGGGGGTTCTTGATCCAAACCACATTAGCCTGGTAGCAATTCACAGGCTCTCATCCTCTGTGGAAAGTAAAAAAAGAACATTTTTTTTTCAAAGCAACATATCTTTAGACCCATATTTTGAAATAATGATACCTTTAAAATACATATGCTGGTTTATCTTAGCAGCCATTACAATGAAATGTTTCTCTGTACTCAGGTCCTTCACAGTCAAAAAATTCAAAGAAAACACAAAAATATACATAATCCAGACTCTGTGTATATTTCATCTTTACTTGGCTTATTTGTTTTTACTCTGTTCCTTTTTTCATATTTATTTTATTATCTTTATGACTGTCTGTAACTCTCTATACTCTTTTATTCTCTCTTCCAAGCCTACATACATTTATCCACTACTGTGAACCATTTAGAGGTCTTTTATGTCTAAGTATGTAACATTGTGCATCTGTAATTCTTAACTGTCCAAAAGTGCTTCTGAAAATGCTAAGCACTTCTTAAACACTTAAGTTGTGGTATTACTAGGGTATATAAGTCCATCCTGCTTGTACCACACAGTCCAACATGGTGGAAGTCTGTTCACCACTCTGTAAGATATGCACATTGTCCCTGTTTTAGGCACTGCAGGTCTATATTGCCATTAAACAAGGTGTAGTACATTGCTCACAAACCCATTTAAATGTCAGGCCTCCTTAAAGAGTCAGAGGTTCCACTGGCAGTGTGGCAAAGAAAGCCAGCATTTCAAAACAACACAGATTTTTTTCTTCTACCACTGAATCAAGAAAACCTCTCTTAAAAGAGGTACAGCATGTCTCCATAAACAAAGCCCATCCGCAAAGAAAATGGGACTAAACTAACTTTGCTTTTTTTTCAGTGTCTAGAATTCCTTTCCACCCCTTCTAAGGTTTTGTATGGGTTACAGTTGGCCACTTTGGTGCCGATTTGTTTTGAGGAGGCCTCTTGTTGGTTCCCGGATGCTCATTCTCTCAGTCGTGGAATAATCACACAGAAACTATATTATTTAAATTGCTGCCTGGCTCATTAGTTCTACCTTCTTACTTGATAACTCTTATATCATAAATTAACCCATCTCCGTTAATCTGTTCATCACCACAAGATTGTGGCATACCAGCAAATTTCCAGCATGACTGTCTACAGCAGCAGTTCCATGGTTTCTCTCTGACTCTGCCTCATTTATCCAAAAATTTATTTTAGTTTTCCCCACCTAGCTCTGTTGCCCTATAAATCTGTTATAGGTCCAAAGAAGCTCCTTTATTAACCAATGATTTTCAAAGTAAACAGAGAAGAATCACATATCAAGCGTATTTAAAGAACTTAAATTGAAAATTCTCTGTAAATTTCTATCTGACAATATCAACACTAGTAAACTTATTAGAAAACAATCATCTTCTTAGCTTTCCTTACTCATAGAAGTACATAGATAAAAAGTAAACAGAGTTCTCTTACAACACAAAATATGTCACCTTGTGACTCTACCTAGTACAAAGATGAAGCTGTATCAACACTCAAAATAAGAATCCAAGCCAAAAATATTTTCTTATCTCCATGTAAAATACTAAAAAATTTTTGTGAAGGAATGAGAAGAAATAATACACTGAAAACCTTGCCAGAATATAAAAACAAAGATGAAAGGAAGACATTTAAATATTAATAAGAAGGTAGTAGCAAAACAAAGTGGAGAAAAAGACTCAAATTGGGAGTGTGGACTACGACAGCCCGAGTGCTTCATTTAAAGTGAGTCTCCTTAGAGATCTCTTTAGAGCAACTTTGACATCTTGATTCCTGAGACTGTAAATAAAAGGGTTCAGCAGTGGCAGCAAAAATGTACAAAATACACTGAGAATTTTCCCTTGATCCATAGATTCATCAGATGATGTTTTGATATGTGTAAGCATACCAAATCCATAGAATAGGGCAACAGTTATTATGTGGGAACTACAGGTGCTCATGGCTTTGTACAAACCCTTACCTGATGACAATTGGATGATATTAAAAAGAATCAAAGCATAGGACATTAAGATGACAACACTAGATGCAATGACCACTGTGCTAATAACAACAGAACTCACAAGCTCACTGGCATAGGTGCTGCTGCAGGAGAGCTGGAGAAGGGGGAAGATATCACACAGGTAGTGGTTGATGATGTTAGAATCACAAAAGTTCAGTCTGACCATAAACACTGTGTGGACAGTGGCACCAGCTAACCCCATGAAGTATGAACCAAACATCATCAGGGAACATGTTCTAGGAGACATGATGACCATGTACAACAGAGGTTGACAGATGGCTACATAGCGATCATAGGCCATGGCTGTCAACACATA